CATTTGGTCAAACTGAAAGGACGCAACGACATAAGAAGGTGGGCTCCCGATGTTTGTTGGTTGATATTCACCCATTCGACTGTAAATCAACATCCATCATGAATCCAAAAGTATTGGAGTTACCCTATGGTAAACTAATATAGCTATTGAAAATTGCCATTTATAGTTGATTTACCCTTAGAAAGATTGTGATTTTCCACAGTTATGTAAACGGTTACCAGATGGTACTGCAATGTACCAACAGAAGCTTGTCATAAATCCAATAATCCCACCCATTATTAAACACCCCACAAATTGTCCCAATTAAGTGGAAATTCCCTACTATACCATGATTTCGAAGGGGGGTTTTAATATTAGGGGGAAGGGATTATCTGTGTTTTGACCATCTTATTTTTCACTGGTAACCATCCAGTTACCATCAGTTACAGCGCTGAGCAATGATTTTGAGTTCAGCCCAGGGCCAGTGGACCTGGGTCTTGGTATGTCTTGGATTGCCTTGGTGGGGGAGATTTTTCTCGAAAGGCGTGTCCTTTGAGTACATTGATTTCGAGAAGCATCCCAAGTTGCTTGGACCATCCGAGATTTTCGTGGGACGGCCGATTTTTTTTCCCATGCTGGAGTGTGTCAAAAGATCCCTTGAAGGTGGAAATGGTGGTTACAAGGTGGTGACACCCCAGTTATGCGTTTTGCTTTACAATCCCCAGTATTTTTAGATACATGTCATAAGTACCTGGTTGGTGGTTTCATTTTTTTATTGTCCATTTCTTATATGGGATGTCATCCTTCCCGTTGACTTTAACTCCATCATTTTTCAAGATGGTTTCAGTAACCAACCAGGTACTGTCACCCAAAAAGGTCGTGTTTGGGAAGGACATGTGGCGTGATGTTCTACTGGGAATCCATGGAGTAAGTTTTATCCAAAATGGTGAGGCGGAGACAATCTCATGGGGCAAGAGTCATCATCTACTCCGAAGCACCAGGAAGAACAGAAGCCAAGAAAAGATAAAGCAAGGGAACTCCACCATTTTCGTGGTATTTTCTTTTCTTTCTAGTATTTCAATTAATAACTGGCCAACACTTTTCAGATGGACCGCCACCAAGCAAAAACACTTGCTACCTGGGCCTGGCTGTGCCAAGGTTCATTGAATATTTGCAGCAGCATCCCCACCAGGCTTGGCCAATTGGGGCACCTTGAATGTGTTCCAAACTTTACCCCAAGTGGGCCCTCACAAAGCCCCTGAAGTGGCTTGAAAGGACGTCATCTTTTAGGCGCAGGTATATCGCGGCGAGCCAGGCTAGTCTTGATCCCATGATTTCACTTTTTTTTTTGTAAACTAACATAGCTATGGAAAATCACTATTTTTAAAAATTAAAGGACCGGATAACGCCACATGTCAACTTCTTCCAACAAGCAGCAAAAGAAAGGTAAAGATGGCATGGGGAAAGCAGGAAAGAGAAAAGAGATGGTGAAGGATTGGCCTATGCAACCAGGTGAATGATTTGCATCCAAATAGAAGGCCAGCTAGACAAACAACACTGAACACACTAATCCAATAACATCAAGTCGCCTCAGACAGCGCCAGCTCTTCGCCGCCTGGGAAGCAAGCGCGCCACCAGAGCCAACCCAGTGCCATAAGTGCCACGCCTGCCACGCAAAGTGACGATCCATGTCATCAAGTGCCACGCCTGCCACACAAAGTGAAGATCGATGTCACAAAGTGCCACGCCTGCCACGCCAACAGCCGCGGCGTCCCCGGCGCCACGCCTAAAACCAAGCGCGCCACCAGAGCCAGTCCAGTGCCATAAGTGCCATGCCTGCCACGCCAGAGGTGTGATGAGAAGTTGTCTGATGACAAGTTGCGTGTGAGTAAGTTGTGTGTGTACAAGTAGTGTGAAGACAAGTGGTGTGATGACAAGTGGACAAGTTGTGTGTGGACAAGTAGTGTGGAGACAAGTGGTGTGATGACAAGTTGTGTGATGACAAGTTGTGTGTGGACAATTTGTGTGAAGACAAGTTGTGTGTGAGCAAGTTGTGTGTGAGCAAGTTGTATGTGGACAAGTTGTGTGTGAGCAAGTTGTGTGTGAGCAAGTTGTGTGTGGACAAGTTGGCACAAGTTGTGTGTGACGGGAGGAGGCGACGGGAGTGGGAGGAGGAGGCGGCGGACGGGATGCAGAACCAAAAACAAGAACCCCACACAAAGATGTGGGGAATAAATCATCAATAAATGTATGATATCATAGTATAAATGGTCCATTTTCCATAGCTACGTGAAAAAAATACCAGAGGCTATCTGTAAGAAATACTATAGCCCTGCTCCATATCCTTCAGTTATGGCCATTTATTAGTTATAACTGGTTATAAATGGGATTATACATTCTATAAAGGTGGTTATAAGTACTTATAACTGATAAATGGCCCGCCATTTGAAAAACTCCCAGGAGCTCCGGGTCACGTCTCTTCTACGTATCTTACTCGTTCCAAAAACGTCCGGATCAACGCGAAGCGATCCGTACCCAAATCGTTCAGCCATACCCATATGCAATCTAGAGTGAAAGAGATTAAGCACGTTCAAAAGAATCTCGGAGAACACACATGCATAATCATGCATATCATTTTTGTTTGGCATTTGCAGAGTTCCGTGATATTTCCCGGGGATGTAACCGCCAAATTGTACAATGGCAATATGTTATGTTCCAAGAAATGCGAGCCTGAGAAAATTATGGGATATTGCCAGCCAAAAATAGGTTGATCGAAACTATTTGGATTTGTTTGAAAATAGGCCATCCCACACCCATTGATTGATCAGTTTATCCCCATTCAATATCCAGTTTGGTGGTATAGTCTTCCCATTTTCAAAAGCATCCATTTGAACGAACATAGAAACAAGGGTCAATGCTGATCAACGTACTCAGACCAACAAATGATGATGTTTACCATTCAAAATCAGGCCGTTTTGCAAGATCTTGCCGTCTATCAAGGAAGGCTGTTACCATCAACAAAATGTGTTTGTTTGCATCCCAGCGTAAGTGGTCAATAACCCGGTTTCATGTGGAGATTTGCACATGGGTTTGATATGGTTCCTTCACCGGTTGTTGACCAAGTATCATGGGATGTGTCAAATGGGAAGCAATCGCTGACTTGTGAATTCTATCCCTTGATGTGGCTCACCGTCCGGTAATCAAACATGGTAATGAACAATTACCCGTTTAGTTCGATGATGTTCACTTCAAAACCTTTATTTATATGGGATTTCCCAGCTAGCCATGTTTTATTGCCAGAACATATTGACTCATATTCCCTTGATATTCCACTGCTATCTATCATTAACCCATCAGAATCCCATCATTATCCCATCATTATCCCATCATTATCCCATCATCATCCCATCATTATCCCATCATTATCCCATTATTATCCCATCATTATCCCATCATTATCCCATCATTGTCGCATCATTATCCGATTATTATCCCATCATTATTCCATCATTATCCCATCATTATCCCATCATTATCCCATCATTATCCCATCATTATCCCATCATTATCCCATCATTATCCCATCATTATCCCATCATTATCCCATCATTATCCCATTATTATCCCATGATTATCCCATGATTATCCCATTATTATCCCATCATTATCCCATTATTATCCCATCATTATCCCATCATTATCCCACCATTATCACATTAGTTTCCAAATATACATTGTTTGTTGCCATGTTTTTATATAGCAAACAGCCGAGTAGCCATTGCTGCCAGTGGATACGTCAGGATTGCAGTTTTGGTGCAGCGGGGAAGGCCATCTTGGCGCGGGCAGTGTGCCACTTAGCCCCCTGGCACCGAAGAAACAGCGGTGGTTGGATTCCATTATGGAAACAACATGTGCAGTGGCTGTTAAACCATTGTTTACAATGTGAGGCCCCCAAGATAGCCAAGTTGGTTTATAACTCCAATAACTATGGTTTATGGTACGCAAATAACTATAGTTACTGGGGCTTATAACCAACTTATAACTGGGGGGCCTCACATTGTAATTTTAGGGGGATGGGATTAATCATATAATAGAAAATGTCACCATGAAAATATTGGGATATAAGTGGATATAGCTGATGCTAGCCAATATATTGGGGATTACAATAATTCAAGAACGGGGAATCCACGAACCTGTGTTACTGTAACTATTCATTGGTTAACCATTGACAAATGCCGCCAGATTAATAATTGCAGTATTTGTGATGGTTAATGGTGTAATGTAATTAACTGATTAACCCATTACTAACCATTAATGTCAACCCCGGATTAATAAGCCATGGTTTATTAATTAGGGTGCACTCCTCCAATAGTCATTTCATCTAATAAATGGTACCCAATTAAACAGCCGTTTGGGTTTATTAATCCAGGGTTTACATTGCATGGGAAACAATATGAAAACATGACGGTATAATGGGATATTAATGGGTCATAAATAATATAATATAACCAATACATATATACATAGATCAACTGTCAACGGCATAATAACAGAATATTCATGGACTATTAATGGAAAATATTTAAGGTATATATATATATGTATACACATAATAATGGAATATTCATGGACTATTAATGGACTACTAATGGAATATCAACGGAATATATCAGTTATAATAGAATCTGATAGTCAAACACTGCTAGCTGGGAAATCCCCATCAAACATGGGCATCTATATAGTCAGTCATCGGACTAAATGTGTGGTTTTCCAATGCCATGTTTGATTACCAGAGTGTGTGAGGATTTTAAGCACAGTTTAATTTTTAGATGTATTTATATTTACATTTGGGTAAATCATAACGACCTCACTGCGACCTCACTGCAATCATGCTTAGTAAGGGGAACCACCCCCAAGATAGCCCTTTCAGGTAAGTGATTTTTTGAATTTACCCAGATACATATACAAAAGAATAACTGGTATAGCAAAATGAGTATAGCAATATTCTTTGGGGCAACCTTGGATGGATAGTGTGCTTGGCACAACTTCAACTTCATCAGCCTTGGCATAGGTTTATTTGATATACACCAATCAAAGATTTGTTACTTGCCATATAATGGGTTACGGTATATACTGTACCCCATTCTTACTGGTAACACTTGAGTGTGCAGTTGTGTTTATTTTTTCTGAAGACGACCATTGTGATTTCTGGTGAACCTTAGATCACTACTTTACTACTTAAAACCTTTTGCCATCAATGGGAAAATCATTGAAATACATCTCAGTTTTCGGTTATCAAAAATAAGATGTATATCTGAGATGTACTACTGATTATTTTTTTTTATCATTATTATTATTATTATACGATTTCGATATATTAATTTTGACTTAATAATGGCAATATATCTTTACTACCTCAACCTCAAAGATGTTTGTCCAAGGTACTGGCCCAAGGTGGTGCACCCCAGTTATAAGTTGATTCATCACCCCCATTGCCTAAAGATATCTACTTAGTATATGAATCAATGTGGGTTATATTAAGTTATATACTAGGACTAGGAAATTGATTTGTGAATCCAAGTTGACCTACTTACCTGGTTGGTGGTTTGGAACATTTTTTCCCATTCAGTTGGGAATAATAATCCCAACTGACGAACTCATATTTTTCAGAGGGGTAGGTATACCATCAACCAGATTATTATTAACCATCATTAACCATATAAAAACCACATATTGACCATGATTCACCATCATTAACCATCATTAACCATCATTAACCACCAGTTACTTTTTGAAGCAGCGCACCCTGTCCACTCTTTTTTTTCCGCAGAACCTGAGCAGAAAAAATGGTTCGATCAAGGCTAGGCTCCAGTACAGAATGTACAGACCATTTCTGTTTCGGGTAGCGTCAGAAAGTCAGATTGTTGGCCATGGCATATGGCCATTTATTGGTGATTCATGGTCACTAGTGGATAGTAATGTCTTTCATAGTGGCTAATACTGATTAATGATGGTTATAAGTGGTGATTTCTATGGGATAAAAACACATTCCATAAATGGGTCTTTGTTAGTACTTGTAACTGGTATAACTCGGGCCATAACTAACTGTAGATTGTTGCCAGGTCAAATAGCCCCATGATTTGGGGGCGGTTTATAGCCCTACTGGCACATCTACTGACCTGGTGAAATGAAGAAATTTTAGCTGACATTTTCATCTAGCAATCAACCAGCAACCATCAATCCTATCCAATCTACACAAAAAATCTATCCTCAAGATCCCTATAATTTTCCCCATGATTTTCCCCATGACTTTCCCCATGTTTTCGTCTCCTTATTTTCCCCTTTTTTGCTGTGCATCCTGCTGCGATGCCCAGCCGATGAGGTTTTACCTCCGCAGATCAGCAAAATCATCTCCATGGACCTTGGAGATGTCTTGGTCTTCGACGACCTCAGGAGACTCGTCGGAGAAATGTGATAAAAGAACGCCCGTTTTTTACCCTCTGGTAATTTAACATAGCGAACTGGAAAATCACCATGCTATTAATGGGAAAATCCACTATTTCTATGGCCATTTTCAATAGCTATGTTAAATTACCAGAGGGTAAGGGATGGTTGACATTGTTGACACCCATTGAAAGGCCTATAAATATCTAATTTAATGGGGATGGAGGGGATAGTTACGGATAATGATTTTTTGTTGGATTTATAGAGCAACTACCAGTGGGTCCCACCGGATTCCTGAATGCTTGCGAAATCCCAAAATCCCAAGCACCAGTTGATAGATGGTAAACATCCCATGATTTTGGATGGGTTGAAAAACCATCCAAAATTGGTGGTTGATCGGATTTCGCTTCACCGTCACCATCCTTCTGGTAGGCTTGATGGATGTCGATGGTAAGCCAGGTAAGGTGTATTAACTTGAGTACAGTGGGTGACAAACTACTTGGATCTGTACTTGGTTTGGAGATAATGGTTCCAATGTTTCTGTAAACCTGATGTTTGATATTCTTCAGTGACAAGCTGAAATGATCCGCATCGGGAAAAAATCCCCAAATATAAGACCCCCAGCCTAGAAACTCTGGTTGTGACTTGGATCTTTCATTCTTGGGTGCAATATGGGTGGTATTTCCTATCACTTGGATGGGATTGCGAATTGCAAAATTCACGATCCTAGATTCAGGGTCGAAGAAAGTTTCAGATCTGAGAGGTCGTTTGTTCACAACAAGGAAGCTGCAGTATTGTGCAAACAATGTGGAGGTGTAGTTGTCGCAACACCATGACATGAAAAACTGATTTTGATTTTTGGTCGTTTCTGGTATCTTGCCACATCATCCGTCATCCTGCACTGTGGGGCCCCCAGTCAATAGGTGTTTTATGCTTTGGTGGGGAAATTGTATTCTAGTTCCAATCAATTTCCCCAAAACAGTGCAGCCCAAACCTGAATGGTTGTAAAATCCCATCAATCGTCCCGCACGGAATTCAAATTGACTGATATTACCCCTAGTCATGTGTTCTTTTAGCCCCATGTTGCTTCATTAAATTCTATATTAATGTTGGATCTGAATTGTTCGTGGTTCAAGAATTCCTCGTGTTTTGATATACCCACAGTATCCTCAAAAAAAACACAACTTTAAAATCAATTCCTATCAGTACAAGGTCGTGCCCCATAGTTAGCTCAGCTGCTTTATACGCCGATTGGTCAGAGTTTATAGTAACATTAGTAACCATAATCATAGCTGTAGTGAGTGGACGAAGCTTTGTCATAGCTATACTATATGACTATATGTATTATATTGTATTATATATATATATCAAAAATCAGATCTAGGGAACATCTTCAGGAAACACCACGATATGTCATAGCTGAACACTTGGTGTCTCCTGTAGATTTTCACTACCGATTCAGAGTGGTAAACCATATGGTTTTTCACCCCGGAAAAGCTACACTGCGCGCCTTGGAGGAGTTTGTGGCAGCAGTTCCAGCATATGGAAGAGCCATGGCTGCGGAGGTTTTTTTTTTAGTCCCCACGAAATCTCTGAGATCCATAATTGTGGATGGTCGTAAACGATTGTTGTAGGGTTAAACCTCAATAATTTAACTAATAATGTGGTTAAAACAATGATAAACCACCCACCACTGGACATGGTTTATACAATTTATACATGTTTATACCACCTATTTATGGTGAAATTGGGGATGGTTTATTATTGTTTTACCAACAGTGTACCCAACAAAGTACAGAAACTATGGTCAACCAAGAAATTTACTGTCCTGTCTGTGTTAGGTCACTTTCCTTGGCGACCAAGGAACTAAACATTGGAATGGTTGAAGGGACAAAAAATGAAAAAGTACCCTCTGGTAAACTAACATAACTATGGAAAATCACCATTTCGAATAGGGAAATCAACTATAAATGTCCATTTTCAATAGCTATGTTAAATTACCAGAGGGTACAGAGAAACATGTCTCTGTTCCCATCTAATTTGGCTGGTTCCTCTAGATGTTCCAAACAATCCAATAAGATTCCATGTTGGGATCATTTGGTGGGATGAGTATCATGATGGCAAATTGGCAGTTGTTTTTTTTTCCAAGGTCTATGATCCGAGTTTTCCCATGCTTGGTGACGGTTGATGGGCGTTGAGTGGAGTCTTTTTGGCCGTTCAAGGGGTCACAGGCAACAATATCCCCCATTTTCTCGCGCCCCGTAGTACTGCACCAAGTGATTTTTTGAAATCAATGTTTTTATTTGGTTGGTGGTTTGGAACATGAATGGATTATTTGTCCATTCAGTTGGGAATTTCATCATCCCGATGAAGTCCATCATTTTTATATATTTTTCAGAGTAGGGCTCAACCACCAACCAGATAGAAAACCATATCATGTACCCTCAGGTAATCATTTTTTTTGTGGAATTCCTCTATGGATAGATGATCTTCGCTGTAAACCTCCAGAAAATAGCTAAGATTGTCCATCTAAAGACGTTTGCTAAAACAGAGGGTATTAGCTAATATCCCATGCCTATCCCATTAATATCCCATTAAATTCCATTTATGGTTGATAAGTCGCCATTATCCCTCTCACAATTCATATTGTTGATGGTTGAAAACGATTTTTGTAGGGTTGAATCACCATCTTTAACCAATAATGTGGGTAAACCAATGCCATGAACCGCCCATGACTGGGAAATGGTTGAATCCCACCTATAAAAATGGTGGTGACTGTGGTATGGTTTATGACATTGCTTTACCTCTATTAATTGTGAATGTATTGTAAATCCCTATTGTTAATAGTTGAAGATTGGTCTGTCATAATCCCTATGGTTGATGGTTGAAACCCATCTCATTGATGGTTTTACCCACATTATTCCAATCATATTCCGTCTACTCACCGCCTCCTTCAAGCCTAGGATCACCACGTGTTTCTCGGTCGCAACGGAAAATGATGCTATGACCAAAACAACAACAAGGGGTGAATGAGAAGAGTTATCGTTGTTAGACATTGCTCGTTACACTATGAACCCCTGGTTGTTGTTATCTGGTTGGTGGTTTCAATATATTTTTCCATTAAATTATATATATATATGGGAATTTCATCATCTGATCAGATATGTGTACAGTGTAGACTATGTCACATGTAGCATATATGTTTGTATATGTGCTGCAGCCATTTTTAGTGCTTTCAGCTACCTTCGAGCTGATTGAGTGAAAAGGTGCTGATCAGTGCTCAGGAGTGTTCATCAGATTTAAGAGCCCAAATTCTCTGTTCATGGTAGCGGAGCTGAGGTTCTGATACCCAGCTGTGAATGTGTAGGTGTCAACGCCGAGCTGCATCAGCTCTGGCGCGCCTACCCAGTGCCAACTGGAAAAGGTTGACACTCAAGCTCCTGAAAATCAGGAAACTCCAAAGGTACTTCCATAACCTGGGAGTGCATCTCCAACAGTATCCAAGGGTTCTCTTGAACCAGGTCTCTAAGCACCTGAAGAACGACTAAGGATGGCTCAGCAACAGCAGCCACCTCAGCAACCAGGCACTCCACCGGCACCACCACAAGCACAAGGCAACGGTCCCAACATGTCCCAGATGATCATGCAGATGATGGCCCAATTGACTCAGGGTCAGGCGCAGTTGAATCAGGCAATGACTGAGGCTATGAGCCAGCAGCTTCAGATCAACAAAAATGTTGAGAGATCTGTTGAGTACAAAGACAGATCAGAGTTGAAAGGCATACCCAAACCTGATAAGTTCACTGGAGCATCAGGCACTTGGGATAGTTGGTGGTACAAGTTTAAGACATGGGTTGAAAGTTGCCACAAGAATGCTGTGAAGATTGTGGCGCAAGTTGAATCTCAGTGTGACAAAGAGATCACTGAGTCAAGTCTAGAAGTAGACTTTGATGAAGGCGCCGAGCTAGTTTCAGCTCAGGCTAGACAAGCCCTCATATCATTGACTGAGGGAGAAGCGTTGGAAATTGTCAAGAACACATCTCGTGGTAGCCACTTTGGCCTAGAAGCCATGAGACGACTGTTGTGCAAATATGATCCTCAAAATCCTCAAGCCAATTCAGCCTTGTTGAAAAAGGTTCTGCATCCAAGTCAATGCAGTCTTGATAAGCTTCGAGAAGGGCTTGAGAGTTGGGAGAACTTGAAAAGAAAGTACGAAGACAGGAGAAAGAAACCACTTGAAGATGACATCTGCAGGAGTTGCTTGCAGCAGATGTGTCCCAACAAGTTGCAAGATCATTTGGACTTGCAGGCTTCGAGATTGACCACGTATGACCAGGTGAAAGCTGAAGTTTTGGCCTACCTTGAGAACGTCGAGACCAGGAAAGAAGCAAAGTCAGGAGCCGTTCCCATGGATGTGGATTCCCTTGCTAAGGGTAAGGGAAAAGGAAAACATGATAAAGGGAAAGGCAAAGGTAAGTCCAAAGGTAAAGACAAAGGAAAGAGTCAGTCTTCGTCTTGGTCAAACAATTCATACAACAAGTCTTGGAACAATCAGTCTTGGAACAATCAATCTTGGAATCAGCAGTCTTGGTCTAAACAGAATACCAATGACTCCAAGAGCAAAGGTAAAGGTAAGAAAGGTCAAGACAAAGGTAAAGGAAAAGGGGATCAAGGCAAAGGTCGTAAAGTTGCTAATGTTGAGTCTGACGCTTGGGCTCAAGAGCAACAACCTGCAGCCTCATCTGGTGATCAACCTGAACCAGAGATCACTGCGCTGTTTGCCTTGGAAGACACTATGCCACCCAAGTCTGAAGCTCGAGATGAATCTTCTCGTCGTGGTCGAAGCCCAAGACGAGCAAACCTTCAAGCACCTTCAAGGAGCACTGTGACCAGGAGCGCTATCGTCATGGCTCAGAGCGCTTTGGCATCAGCTTCTGGGTCTAACAAGGAGCTGTTTGGCAAGATGATTGCTCAGGCTGAGAGCGCTGTCAAAGAAGCTCAGGACAAAGGGCGTCAAGCAAATCAAGCTCTTAAGGAACGCCAAGAAGCCCTGGACAAGTTGAAGAAAGAGGCAGCCCAGCATCACAAAGAGGCCAAAGAGGCAATGGCCAAAGTGAGGGCAGAAGGCCGTGCTGCTTCAGCACCGGCTGCACCCTCTCGTCGGATGCAAGCCGACCTTGAGGCTGGAGTACATCCAAGAGCTGCCAAGAAGAAGGAGAAGGACAGGCAGAGAGCTGCCAGTCATCGAGCAGCCACTGCTGGACAAAGAGCATCCAGCTTCAAGCGCTATGAGTTGGCCACCTTTGGACAGGCCGACCCTGACAAGTGGGACAAGGATGACATGGGAGATCTTCCTGAACCTCCCAAAGCAAGAAAGCTGGAACCCAAGCGCCATAGAGGAGGACATCACAGGTCTGACAGGCGAAGAGCAGATGAAGCAAGGAAGAAGGCCAATAAGGAGAAGATGAAAGAGATGAGCAAGGATGAGATCCCACAATGGATCCATGACAAGTGTGAGATTTCCTCTGAGGAGAGCATTTCCTCTGAAGGATATGAGTTTGTCAGCAGACTTGAAAAGCTGAAAACCGATCCTGAAGTCCTCAGCAAGTTGGACAACGTCTTGAAGGAAGCCTACGAGAAAGCCTATGGTGAAGTTCTTGACCTAGGATCTTCTGATGAGACAGATCCAGACGATTTGCCCTACAACCAGGAGCCAGCACCAGGCATGGGGGATGTGGTCGAGCATTGGCAGAATTCCTTTCGAAGACCCATTCCATTCAAGGAGTTGCATGAGAAGTGCAAAACTGTCTCCAACAAAGGGTATCCCTATGTGAAGTGCCAGTCATGTGGAAAGGCACTCAACTCCATGAGCGTTGCAAGCTTTTGGCAACATGTGGAGAACAAGCAATGCTATCCTCAGTATGCCCTGGAGTTTTGGAAGAAAGAACATCGTCAGGTAAAGGCAGAGAGAGAGAGGCACGAGAAGAAGGAGAATCATCCCAGAAGCGCCCCATGGATGATGCAGAAGCCAAAGATGAGAAGAGGCGCCAAGAGATTGCCAAGGATGAAGAAAGGAAGAAGCGCAAGCAAAGCTTTGAGGAGCACTACGAGCGCTTCAGGCACAAGGGCAAAGATGAAGTGAAGCCCGAGGTGAAGAAGATCCCCAAGAGGCCAGGGGAGAAAGAGAAGGTCGAGGAGAAAGAGAAAGAAGAAAAGAAAGAAGAAGAAGAGGCACCCAGAGCACCCATCGAGCTGAAGTCCAAATCCCCATCGAGAGCGCCTGAGGACAGCCGGGCTGATTCAGCCCAGGCGTCCAAGGGCAGGGGAAAGTTCAGCATGGGCACCAAGAGATTCCTGGAGAAGACGGTGCGTGATGCAGCCAACTACATGGAAAGAAAAGCCAGGAAGAAGAGGGAGAAGACGCCATCTCCCAAGCCCAGGAAGCATTCACCAAGAGGAGGAGTTCGATCTGATTCCAACCTCGACTTCCTGGGAAGTTTGGCATCTCAGGTGGATACCATTGTCTGGGCTACCGTTGACTCAGGGGCAGCAACCAGTTGCCTACCCAAGGAATTGGCACAGTCATTGGAGTTGGCTATGACACCTGTGGATGAGAAGCCGTTTACCAATGCATCAGGACAACCAGTCCAGGTGCACGGCATATGCAACCCCATGGTGACAATGGGTGAGAAAGGAGGCCCACAAGTCAAAGGTGTGGGACAGTTCCGGGCAATGGATGTGGCAAAGCCATTGCTATCTGTGTCCAAGCTGGTTGAGAAAGGCTGGACAGTGACCTTCGGCCCCAAAGGATCGTTCCTGCAAAGGGGAGCCAAGAAGGTACCAATCACAATGACTGGAGGAGTCTTCAAAGTAGCCATGGATTTTCATGGGCAGCCCATAGAAGGGTTGAAGGCGTAAGTCCTGTGGAAACCACAGAGAGCGCAGGTAGTGGAGATGATGAACCGGGCAGTAGTAAGCTAGGTTCTCAAGCACTACCAACTGCAGCAGCGCCGACGCAGAGAGAAAAAGAAGAGCATTTTGTCAGCCATTATCCTTTTAGGAGTTGGTGTGAACATTGCATTCGAGGTAAGGCAAAGGCAATGAGACATGTCAAAGTAGATCATTCAGATGAAACAGTTCCTGTGATCTCAGCTGACTATTGTTTCATGAATTCAGTGGATGACACTGTCATCACAGAAGAAGTGCAGAAAAAGCATGCACCAGTTTTGATAGTACATGATCGATGGTCCAAGTTGACCTACGCACACGTTTTGCCATACAAGGGAGTTACCCAAGGTCCTATTGGATCTAAGTGTCTTTTGAATGACCTTAAGAAGTTTGGGTACCCCAAGATGGTCATGAGGTATGACCCAGAGCCTGCACTCAACTCCGTAGTTGAGGCAGCCAAGAATGGTTTTGACAAACAGTTGGTTTTGGAAAAAGTTCCCAAAGGAGTCTCAGAATCCAAAGGGGAAATTGAAAGAGCAGTTCAAGCTATTGAATCTCAATCCAGGACACTCAGAAGTGCCTTGGAGACAAGCTATGGAAGAAAGGTGCCAGACGACCACCCAGTTTTGACATGGTTGGTTGAACATGCTAGCACCACTTACAATTTGTTTCACAGATCATTGGAAGTCAAAGATGGGAAGACACCGTACTCTAGACACCGTGGTCGTGAGTGGAGAGTGTCATTACCACCATTTGGGGAAACAATTGAATTCCTCAAAAGAGGTCACAAGTTTGAACAAAGATGGCACCAAGGAGTTTTCTTGGGAGTCAAAGACAATACCACTGAGAAGATAGTGGGAAATGCATCAGGTGTTTTCACTGTGCAAAGCATTCGACGCAAGAGTGCTGACGACAGATATGATGCCGAAACGTTGATGTCAGTCACTGGGGTTCCTTGGGATCCCCAGGCATCAAAAAGAGATGACATTTTGCTTCCTCAGATTGTTGGGGGAGATCAGCAGCCACTGGCGCCATCAGTGCCAGTTGAGCCACCAAAGAAGTCGACAAGACGACTTTACATCACCAAACGTGATTTGGACAAGTATGGCTACACCGCTGGTTGTGTCGCCTGTGATGCCGCTAGAATTGGCAAAAGAGGCACTGGAGTTCATCACACTCCAGCCTGCAGAGAAAGGATGGAACGTCTGCTTCAAGCAGAAGAGGGCAACCTGAGAGTAGCCCAACATACGGCCAAGGTTGATTCCGAAATCACGGGTCAGAAACAAGAAGTGTCCGAAGAAGGCACAAAGATTCTTTATGGGTATTCAAGTGAGAAACCACAAGAAGTTCCTCACGGTTTTAAGGTGTTTGCGCGCCTTGACAAGAATGCAAGGTATCTCAAGGGTACTATGCCAGAAGGTCCCAGTTGGGATAATGTCTGGTGGAGAGTCACCAGAGATTTCAAAACAGGAAACATTATCAAGTCTGAACCAATGGATCCTAGTTTAGGAGATGAAGTCATCAACGCGCCTTTGATTGATGACGCAGATATCGTCACTGAACTGTGGTACTCAGCCACAGGGGAATCTGCTCCAAGTTTGCCAACAGCTGGACCTGCTATCGCGAGGCAGAGTCCTGCTACCGGACAAGCTGCAGATCCACCTGCAGAAAGCGCAAGCGCAAGCACAGCCTCAGCCAAGAGGGCAGGAGGCGAGCAAGAAGAAAGAGCACACAAAAGGTTGGAAATGTCTCCAACCAAAGGTCGGAAAAGACCTGCAGACTCAGGAGGCGAAACGTCAAAGTCCAAGGACAGCCGAGCTGCTTCAGCTCAGGCGTCTAAGGGCACCAAACGGCCACCTGAGAATGAGAGACCAGAAGACATGGATGACATAGACCAATGTCTTATGAACCTGATCATGGAAGATCGGGAGAAGTACCTTCAGTCCATTGAAGGTGAAGAAGAGCCAGTTTGTGAAGAGACAATTCCTCTTCCACCAGAACTGGAAGATGAAGCAGCCACATGGTATTATTACGATGATATCAGTGGAAAGATTTTAGACAGCAAAGGTGTAGAACAAGCCAGAAAAGATGAGGTCGAAATCATCGAAAGTTTTCCAGTTTGGGAAAAGATTCCCAGACACAAGATGCCCAAAGGGGTACGCACCATTGGAACACGATGGGTAGATGTCAACAAGCAGGATGAAGAGAATCCACTTTATAGAAGTAGGTTAGTAGCTCAAGAAGTCAAGAAGGGCTCAGGTTTTGATGAGTTCTTCGCAGCTATGCCCAGTTTGTCGGCTTTGAAGATGCTAGTTACAATAGCCGTCACGTTTCAGTTGCCAGACGCTGGAAAAGCTGTCAAGGAAGCCTATCGCAAGCGTAGACTTCTAGGATTTTTGGATGTGAAACGCGCCCACTTTTACTCAGATGCGACGCGTGAGATCTATGTGGAACTTCCTGCAGAAGCAAAGAAGCCTGGAGAAGATGTGGTAGGAAGATTGCTCAAGTCTTTGTATGGAACCAGAGACGCACCTCTCAACTGGGAGTTGCAAATACAGAAGGTTATGTTAGCCTTAGGTTTCAAGCAAGGAAAAAGCAATCCATGCATTTACTACCATGCAGGCCGAGACCTCAGAACTGTTGTACATGGAGATGATTTTACAACAGCCGGAACATTTGACAACATCAAATGGCTTCATGAAGAGCTGTCGAAGAAGTGGAAATGTGTGGAACGTGGTATTTTAGGACCACCAGGAACACCAAACACCATCCAGGACATCAGAGTCCTGAACAGAATTATCACATGGAAGGGAATGGAATTTGGTGGGAACCAGATGCACGTCATGCAGAGTTGGTGATTGATTTACTCGGAGATGGTCCCCGAGGAGCCAAAGTCAAGACACCACTTGCCAAGGGTTCAGTGGAAGACCTCAAGAACGCCACTGTTTTTCTCAATGATGAAGAAGCAACCCAGTACAGATCAGTTGCAATGCGAGCAGCTTATTTGGCACAAGATCGACCAGATCTGCAAGTAGCGACAAGATCTTTAGCACAAGGGCTACAACGACCAACTACCAGCCACATGCTTATGCTCAAACGAGTTGCACGATACCTAAGGTATCGACCACGCATGGCACAATTCTTTCCTCATCAGAGCAAACTCAGTCCATTTGTGATGTGGTCTGATGCTGACCACGCTGGTTGCGTGAAGACGAGGAAGAGCGTGTCAGGAGGCGTCCTGATGGCCGGAGGTTGTTGTATCAAGACTTACTCTAAAGGACAAGGAGTAGTCAGTCTTTCGTCTGGAGAGAGTGAGTATTACGCTCTTGTGAGCGGTGCCAGCAATTTGCTGGGAGAAGTTTCAACCGCCAAAGACTGGGGTTTGCAACCCGAGAGTGAAGTTTTCATGGACGCAAGTGCAGGAATAGCAATGGGTTCTCGCAGAGGACTAGGCAAGGCCAAGCACGTGGATACTCAATACCATTGGGTACAAGACCGCGTTGCCAAGCGCTATTTTCGGCTGAAGAAGGTCGACACTGGCGATATGCTTGCCGACGTCTTGACGAAACCTGTCATAGAAGAGAAAATGAATAAAGCCTTGCGAAATATGAATTTTCACTTTCTGGAAGGTGAGCATCACCTGACACTGAGAGCATAGATGGCTTGAGCGTGGCTATGAGTAGCTGTACATATCAAAACTCGCCTAGTTCAAATAATTGGACGGGAGCGCCGTTTTTAAACAGGCTCGGGAGGCGTGATCAGATATGTGTACAGTGTAGACTATGTCACATGTAGCATATATGTTTGTATATGTGCTGCAGCCATTTTTAGTGCTTTCAGCTACCTTCGAGCTGATTGAGTGAAAAGGTGCTGATCAGTGCTCAGGAGTGTTCATCAGATTTAAGAGCCCAAATTCTCTGTTCATCATCCCAACTGACTTTCATATTTTTCAGCGGGGTAGGTACACCACCAACCAGATCGTCGTTGGGGTTTTTATTACTTGACCGAGATTTGGTGCAGAAACCATGGAGGTGCTGAAAACATGGAACAGTCAGCATGATGGCTATGGATCAAATTCAGGTACGGCAAAAAAAGGCTCATCGATGGACCATAATGCCCAGAGGCTGTTTTTTTAATTGATGAACGCCCTTTTTTCCTGTTGTTTTTAGACTTTTTGAACTCTTTTTTTCTTTAGCATGTATGTTAAGTTGTTAAAAAATAAACACCATTACTGTTTGCTGGTTCAACCTTGTAAACATGTTCTTCTATTGCTCAACATTTTTTGTCCGCTAGTTAAAACTGGTTTAACCCCGAGTTTATGTTGCTTAAAACCATATCATATAGCTTCATGTTTTAAACCTTTAGTTTTGTTGGTTCAATCTTATTAAACAAGAATGTTCCATTGCTTAGACCACTGCTGTTTTATTGTTAAACCTCTGTTGTCAATGCTTAAGAATTGCTAAACAACTAGTCTTAACATGAATGTGAAATCCAGATTGTACAATTGACTTATTTTTTTTTTTACATCGTCAAAGATGGTTAAAAAACACCCTTTCCAACAGGTTAAACCGCGATTCTGTGATGATCCAACCCTTACCTTCCCTGTTCAAAACTTGCTGGACCCTTAGACTGAGTTTCTACTGTTGAAAAACAATTGATTTTTGATTGTTGAATCTCTACAAGATTAAAATCTATACAATAGTGGTAAACATGATTAGCAATGGTTGAACACATGAATCACTATATATAAAAAACATAATATTATTAAACATTGATTAAAAAACCACAATAAATCATCACCATGTTGTGGGGTCTAGACCATGATAAACCACTATGAATCACTATGAATCTATGAAAACCTATAAATCATTATAAATCAACCATTATGAATCACTATGAAAACCATTGAAAACCATTGAACACCTATAATTCCATCTATTAATCCATCTATTTCCCACTCTTTTATCCCTATAAAAGTTCCATGAAGAACTCCACCTCGCTGAAAGGTTGGCCGCATCTCACGCCGTGGCCCTGAGCCACATCAACGCGGGCGTCGTGTTTTTCGGATCGACAATTTGGAGGGTTTTCGTCGTGGATTTTGTGGGTAAAATGATGGTTTTTTACCCTGGAAAATCACGGATTTAAGGCTGGAACCTGCTGGAACATGTAGATTAATTTCCCTCTGGTTATGTCAAAATAGCTATTAAATGGCCATAGAAATAGTGGATTTTCCCATTAATAGCATGGTGATTTTCCATAGCTATGTTAAATTTTCATGGAATAGTAAGACGAACTAGGGCCTATACTTTTCACTCAAACATTTCGGAAATACTGGTCCTACAAATGGAGATACAGCTTGGATGGAACAGGGTTTACATAGGATAATGTCCCAACATATCTAATGGGATAACCCAAGTTACAGAACGTAACCAGGGATGATCCCCCAAGTTGTCGGTGAATGGTAGACCTGGTAGTTGAAACATCTTCAAACATGTTCAAAGAAAGATTTGGGATTGGGATATCAATTTTAAATAGGGGATGTATTGGGTCAATAGATATGGGATGATATGGGAAAATTATGGGAATACGGTGTTGAAAATTCCTGCTTCGCAACTATGGGATATTTCACGTAACTTCAACCTGCGATCATGGACCATGGCCAATACTCAGCCACTAAAAGACATCCAATCGTGAGACAACCAGCGGTGACACCCGATTAAACGTTTGGATATACCATGATATACCCTCTATATTTTTACAATATATATATATATTATAAATTATAAACATGTTCTGTTCATATATATATACATATAATAATATATATATATATGTATGTGTGTGTTCATTCGCATACATCAGTATCAATAACATCACTAAATCCATAAATAATTAAGAAAAAACGCATACAGAATTATATAGAATAAACACGTGTAATTACACATTTATAGATATTCCACAATTTAATATGCATAACAGTAGTTTGTCCAGTTCCCAACCGTTTCAGTCATCGTTTCTGCTCCCAGGCTGTACCACGTGGAGCGCATGCGTTTGGTCGGCTTCGAGAGACTGGCGCTCCGAGCGGTGGAGGATATGCAGCGCTGGAAAGCCGAAGCTTGGCGGTGTCCGTTGACGAAATAAGTGGATTTACCCGGCCTGGTAAACTAACATGTTTAATGGTGATTTTAATGGGATATATGATGGTATACCCTCTGGTAATTTGATATAGCTATTGAAAATGGCCATAGAAATAGTTGATTTTCCCATTAATAGCATGGTGATTTTCTATAGCTATGTTAAATTACCAGAGGGTACATTTAAGAAGAGTTCGAACACCCATATGATGTCAAGATTCTAGGGCAAGAGGTGGCTGCGTATGCCAAGTTGTCTATGCAAGGGACAGAGCAAGGAACATATGGGGGATTTATCATGATTATGAGAGGGAGAATGGCACAATATATTTATCCATTAATGGTAAATAATCAACTGGTTGGTGGATTTAATGGTGATTTAATAGGGATATTAATGGTGATTTAATGGTGATTAACCCTCTGGCAATGGAATATTAATAGCTGATTTGTGGTTTGGAACATGTTTTATTTTTTCATATTTTTTGGGAGTAATCATCCCAACTGACTTCCATATTTTTCAGAGGGGTTGAAACCACCAACCAGATTAGTATTTGGAATATTAATGGATAAAATGGTATATCCATATTTGGTTATCAGTATTAATCCATATTAATATATTGATAATCCATTTTAATGGCTAATATCCTTGGTATATCAGTTAACCAAGGAACATATGGGGAATTTATATGAATTTATCCATCTTCCATGTTTAGGTGATTTGATCCTGTCGGACCTTTCGGACTGTGATTTTTAGCTGATTTACCCAGGTTTTTTTCTAAGGTAGATGTGGAAAACGTAGGTTATTAACCATTCAATTGCACTGAGATTTATATAATGGGATATATATGGTGTTTTTTTTCAGCATATTAGCTATGACATGAAAGTTATAGTGATTAATAGAGTCTGTGATGCGCTTTAATGTTTGGATTTTGGACTTTGTTATGTTTTCGTGCGATCTTTATTTGGTACTGTAATAATTGTTCTTTTTTACCCGCAATTCGGTTTATCTTTGTGGTGCACGATTTAAACAAAAATATGAGCCCAACAGCGTGCTAGCTGGAGATGAAAACATGAATAGCAGGGCACCGCAGCTAGAGATGATACATGTGAATCATTATTCCAATTTCCTCCAGGGAAATGAATCTTGTCTATTGAGTCTCTATTGTCTATTTGTTTCTTGTGTTCCAATTTCTGAAAAATGGAGGTTCTTTCATCATTTTTTTGGAATGTCTAGGAACGATCATCAGTTAGATTTAATCTCCCCATCTTTGTTGGTGTACATCCATTGCTACAGGATGGGCCCCCCCAGTTATAAGATGTTATAAGTTGGTTTATAAACCATTATAACCCCCATTAACTATAGTTATATCTTCCATAAACCATAGTTAAACCACTTATAAGGCAACTTAGCTATCTTGGGGGCCCCATCCTGTAAGCCTGATTTTAAAGGCCGATCATTCCAATCGTTCCCATGTCGGGGTTTCGCGAAAGTCACTGGGGGATCCCCAGTCGTCACCATGGTTGTTTCAATACTCACATTCTTCGAGTGACTTGCATGCTGGTTGGTGGTTTCAAACATTTTTTTATTTTCCATAATAACCCCCGTCCGGGGTACCTAAATAGAATGGGGGGGCTGAAGCCCCTTTTAAAATAAAAAATAAAAAATAATAACATGAAAATAAAATGGGTCAGACCCCTGCATTTTATTTTGTGGGTGCATTTTATTTTTTGAGGTGCCTAACCCATCAAGTTAACTGACAGAGATAGCATCATAGCAAAGATGCACAGCTGTGAACGGCCTGATCATTTTGTGAAACATTCCAGAGATTTGGAATTATTTGGACATTAACTTCGAAAATGGGTTGGCCCCCCTCATTTTCTGTTGGCACGTGAAAAGGCTAAACAAGACTGAACAAAACTAAAAAAAGATCAACCAATCAAATAAGGAAACAATGTAAAGGACTAAACAATACTAAACAAGACTAAACATGGTTAAAACCAATCAAATAAGGAAACGATGTAAAGGACTAAACAAGACTAAACAAGATTAAACATGGTTAAAACCAATCAAAGAAGGAAACAAGACAAAACAAGATCAACCCAAAAGAAAATGCCGGAGCCCGAGGTCCAACAGTTGCATAACGTAGGTCCACCAGTGGCCAGGTGGAGGGTGCCGAGGTCATTTTCTTTTTGTACCTGTCCATTGTATCTTGTTTGGGTTTTCCTATCTTACCTTATGCCCTCTCATTTTATTGGCATTTTCTCCTTAGGCCCCTGCATTTTATTTTATTTTTTTAGGTGCCTCACCCCCCCCCCTGGCAACAGACGAGGGTCATAATATATGAGATAATCCTTCCCATTGACTAATTTTTTTCAATATGGTTAAAACCACCAACCAGCTTGGATGATTTTTGGATAGCCCTATTTTTTGGAGGAAACCTCCAAATCACTAGAAGTTCTTGATGAAATTATGAGATCCACCAGTTTTATCTCGGTTAGATATCTCGATCGATGTTTAAAATTAACTTCAGGAAACCATCTATTTAATCTATATGTATGTCTCTTCGGGACCAACGATCCTTACTTTTCTGCGCATCTTTGTCCTTGATTCTCCACGCATGCCTCTGCACTTTTTTCACCACCTAGGACAGCACATGCCTCCGGGAGCGGCCCCGATGATCGTTGGATCATGCTGGATCCCAAAAAGACAAAGACAGTTATGGCCATCTACCCTCTGGTAATTTAACATAGCTATTGAACATGGCCCATTTATAGTGGATTTACCCATTGAAAATGGTGTTTTCCATAGTTATGTTAGTTTACCAGAGGGTATTAGTTGTAACTGGTTATTTCTATGGGAAAAAAACATTCCATAAATGGGGTTGTAAGTACTTAGAACTGGTATTTCGGGCCATCAGCAAACAGTATCTTATTTTGACCATGACATTATGGGGTATCATGAGGTTAGAATTTGAAATTAAAAGCCAAGACAGTGTATATTACCCTCTGGTTATTTAACAGTTCGCCATGGTATAGATGGCCCATAGAAATAGATGGTTTACCTATTACAAATGGTGATTTTCCATGGCTATGTTAGTCATAACCAGATGGTATAATATTGATTCCATGCTTGGAAGTCGGCATGCGGTTTGTCGCATGTCGGCAAGTACCCCGCTCCTTGGCATCAGAAAGTCTATCTATCATATGTCGGCCTGTTCGATAGCTTCGAAATCCTCAGGCCCTCCGGTAATCAAACGTGGCAATGGAAAAGCCATCATTTATGATTTACCCTCTGGTAAACTAACGTAACTACGGAAAGATCCACCATGCTATTAATATTATTAATGGGTAAATCCACTATATCAATGGCCATGTTCAATAGCTATGTTAGTTTACCAGAGGGTATATACATGATGTTGCCAGCTATAAACCTCCATTTCTAGTGGATTTGTTCAGCTTGCAATGTTTGATGACACTGGAGGGTATACATTCTGGACTCGTTTGCCATCCAGATGTTCCCCCGAAGTTTGGAATAATGCAGTTTGATGATCTGATGTTTGCTGCTTTCGACAAACTCTTGATGCAAATAACAGTCTGGTTGGTGGTTTGGAACATTTTTTATTTTTCCATATATTGGGAATAATCATCCCAACTGACTATTTTTTTTCAGAGGGGTTGAAACCACTGGTTCAATTTGTTTAATGAGTAAATTATGGTACAAAAGCAGTTCAAAATAGGACGATGACCATTATATATATATAAAAGTACGGCAAGACCCTGAGGTTTGCCCGGACTCGCAACGAGCGTCTGGGCGTGATGATGATGATGATGATGATGATGATGATGATGATGATGATGATGATGATGACCAATATGCTCCACATAAACAACATGTATTAAACCCTTATACAAGATCTTCAATGAATGTAGAAGTTTAACGGGTGTGGGAGAATTCATATGTATAGTGTGATAAAACAAATCCTTATAAATTACGCTATTCTGGGCTTGGGCAAACCTCGGGGTCTGTGTGTACAAGTAGGGCAGTGACAAAGGCGGAAAAACAGTTCCTATCCCCCACACCGGGGAATAATTTTTCACCGGGAATCTCCAATGCCAAGTTTCATAGGACCAGTCCATCATCAACATTCTGCATTCCTTCAGGACCTGTCTGGCTGGAGTGTGCTTGTTGCTGACTGCACCGACAGCTTTCGCCCCCTCCAAATTTGATACTGTATGTGGAACCTGAAACCATAGAGACATACATAAAGATTTGGTCCCAAAGTCCCAGTTATAGATGATTTTCCTACTGGATGTGGCCCAAACTTTGAGTATGTCCCTGCTGGATATGGTCCAATACTCAGTAGAAAGATAAAAACATAGGTTTCCCGAAATCATCCCTGTTTTCAAGTGAAGTCAAGTAAACCCTCACATGTGTTGCATGTTGTTCCCTTCTGTTTGATTTATGGTTATCTCGTGAACCCTGCTGGTTAACCTACAGTGGCAGGAGCGAATTCGGATATCTGGGACCAAGTCCGGTCATGATCTTGCCCTGCAGATGGTCAGTGCTGCTGGGCAACATGGCCGTCTTGAAATCAATGACCCACAGAATCCACAGAATGTGGGGCCCCCGTTCGATAGCTAAGTTGGTGCAAATAACTCCAATAACTATTGTTTATGGTACTTATAACTATAGTTAATGGGGTTTAAAAACCAACTTATAACTGGGGGGCCCCACATTGCAGAAATGGGATAGAAATGGATACCCAACCTGGTTATGACATTCACAGTTCGCCATGGGATTTCGATGGCCCATAAAAATAGATGGTTGACCTATTAAAAATGGGTGGATCTTTCCATGGCAAACTGTTAGTCATAATCAGGTGGTATATCTCATTAACCATTATTAACCACTATTAACCATTATTAACCACTATTAACCACCATTATTATAATGGGATGAAGAAGGGTGAGGTATGGTGAGGTGTGTCTCGAACCCCCACACTTGGATGGGCCATGGACAACTGGCTAGCTGGCTTACAGCTGGGTAAACCATCCATCCTGGATAGAACCCACCAAGCAGTCCACCTTTCATGTGGTAAATCCATGCCGTAAACCATCCCCAATGTACCGTAGATGGGATTCAACCATCATCCATAAACTAATTGGGTAACTGCTTGGTGGTGAACATGAATGGATTATGACTTTCCATTGGGAATTTCATTCAACTGACGAAGTCCATCATTTTTCAGAGGGGTAGGGCTCAACCACCAACCAGATAATTAACCATCAAACATTAACCATCATTAACCACCATTAACCACCATTAACCACCAACCAGTAGGCTTACCACGTGTTTATGAATGTTCAATGGTAGGTTTACCACGTTTTATGAACTTTTCTGAGCTCATCGACCTCCAAATGAAGAGATCTAAGACGAAAGCCAGGCTTTCGTATTGGAAGTATTTTATATAGATCATTCCACTTATCCAATTATAACAGATTATAACATATTTTCATAACTGGATATTTGTTATTATTGGAATATTATTGGATATCGAAAAACACATACTTCCAATTCGAAAACTGGAAATAATATTATTATTACTAATAACATTATCTAAAATTATAATACTAATAACATTACTAATATCTGGATAATGATCTAATAACTGGAAATATAACAGGAAAATCTGAAAAAACTTTATCCAGTTATAACAGATTATCCATTTATATTTCCAGAATTTTCAAGATAAGTGGTTTATCTTTCTATTGGATTTTATCCAATTATTACAGATCATCTAAAATCTAGTTATAATTCCACTAAATCCAAAAACACATTCAATCTTAGATATTGGTGATTTTAGATTATATAACTTTTGTAAGAATGAATCACATTTCCCACTAAATCCTCCATTCAAACTATACTTTCATCCAGTCGTATTCTGAAATGACATTATTTCACATTCAAATCCAGTTATCTGGTTGGTGGTTTCAAACATTTTTTATTTTCAATAATACATGGGATAATCCTTCCCATTGACGAACTCATATTTTTCAGAGGGGTTCAATCCACCAACCAGATTATTATTAACCATCATTAACCATATAATAACCACATATTGACCATTATTAACAGTATATATTCCAATAATAATAATCATTATTAATAGTATATATTCCAATAATAACCATTATTAACAGTATATATTCCAATCATATTCCACCAACCAGTTATAACCCCACAACAAATCCCCATCAAGAGACCCATCCCCGGCCATCCCCATAGCGCATCGCTCAGGTTTCCCACCACCGAGTGGCTTTCCTATTGGAACAGTTGGGGGCACCCAGGTCCGGTGGGGCCTTGCGGTGGCCGGCCATCCCGGATCTGAAAAGTGGTGCCGCCTCGTTGTATTTGGGAATACGAACTGGGAATACTATGGGAATATACCATGGGATTATCATTTCTATAGATTTTAAGGGTAAATTTGATCACGACCGAACCCTGTTCTCCCGAACCCTGGAATCATGGTTAGTATTGGAAATCATCCCCATTCATGGCCGCAAGATTCAGGTTAGTGAAATATTATAATTTTCCCAGATAAATGGGGTATACCCCAAAATGGATGGTTTAGCAATATCCTTTTCAAATGGATGATTTCAGGGTACCCCCAATATTATATATAATTTACCCAGATTTGTTGGTTTCTATTTAACCCAGCTAACTGAGTTGTCCAGGATCTCATGTTTTGGAAGTTGGTCACCACATACTTTGTTGATGTTCACCCATCTAGTATACTGTTCATCACTATAAACCTTATCCTAAGAACCATCGTTTATAAATCAACGTTTAACACTACTAACATCTCCTAGCACTTACCCTCTGGTTTAACGTGGCTGTGGAGAATGGCCGGTTTGTGGATGATAAACCATGGATGATTTACCTATTAATAGCATGGTGATTTCCCGGTTCGCTACGTTAACTCCAGGGTAACCCCTTTCTTGCTGTATACATTGATGCATTTCGAACGTAGGATTTTGATGCGGGAATGTGAGAACCATGAAGTGATTATTCTTGGCACCTTTTTGGTTTTGGCATTTTCAGGACTGCGTTTTTCAGACATGCAACGGACCTGCACAAAATCACTACACTGGAGTGGCTCAGTACTGAGGGGTACTTGCTGGCGCACAAAAACCAGTAGAACTGGCCAGCCATTTGGCCTGATTGCCAAAGGATTTCTTTCGATGAGCCTGTTCAAGTTCCTGGTCACACTAGACCAGATTTTAGCTGAACATGGCACAGGTTCAGAGGATTTTCTCATACCTGGTTGTGAGAGACACGGCATCCGTCTCCCAATTCAACCAATGTCGTATGCTGAAGCACTTTTCTTTGTCAGACATTATTTGAGATTGCCCTGGAGGACCACCACAGTATCCCTTGGCGGCGACGTCAGATCCTTCACAGTGCATGGGCTTAAGTCCACTTTGCTCTCTTGGGGGCGCCTCCATCGACACATGCCACATTGATCGATGCAATGCTCCGAAAACTTCGTCATCGCATTCATCCCTCTGCGTAATTGCAGGAGGATCCTGTTGTTCGGATGCGGAAGAAGAAATGGATGTTGATGAGTCCGTCTCACCTGAACCAGATGCATCAATGAGTTCAAAAAGGTCAGTGGTTTCTATTAGTACCGCTGGTTTCAAATGAAATTGAAAGTACTTCCATGTATAGGCGAGGTGCATGTTTGGCAAACTGTTGAAACTGGAAGGTTGGTTCTTCCATTGGATGCTGACCACCCCGTCCCAATGGAGTGGACGGCCTGAATCTATTCTGAGCTGCAGAAACAATGCTCTCTTGAAACTGTAAAGCGCCATGAACATCATCCCTACTATACAAGCGTGTTGATGCCTGTTGAGCCTTATGTTTTCCCTGCAATCTCCTCTGTTCCTCGGGCAAATTTAGCTGTTGCGAACCGCTTGATTGGAGGCACCATATATAAGGCCTATTTTTTTAGGGAATTGAATATCAATTGCCATTTCAGGAACCGATTGATTGGAGGTACCTACCATATATAAGGCCTAAATTTCAGGGAATCTCCCCAGAATTCAGGCCAAACATATGGTACGTAGTAACGTAGCTCCATTGACCGCTTTTGAGGCCCTGAGATGTGGATGCCCGAGCTGCGAAGGAAGCAGCGTTCCTCGATTTTTTGGCCAGGGGTAACCAAGAGGATATGCCCATGTTATGGTGTTTAATAGGGTTTTAATGGGATTTCCATGGGATTTAATAGGAATTAAAAGGATTTAATGTTATGTCGAATAGGATTTCATGGGATTTAGTAGGAATTATAAGGAATTAATGGTATGTTTAATAAGATGTCATGGGATTTAGTAGGAATTATAAGGAATTAATGTTATGTTTAATCAGATTTCATGGGATTTCATGGGATTTGCAGTATATAGTATATTCAAGTATGATTTAACGGGATTTCATGGGATTTACTAGCAAATATAAGGATTTAATGTTGTGTTTAATAGGATTTCATGGGATTTACAGTATACAATATCATATAATCAACAATGATTTTTTACGGGATGTCATGGGATTTCCATGGATTTCCTAGGAATTATAAGGATTTAATTTTCTGTTTATTAGGATTTCATGTGATTTCCTGATCAACTATGATAGATTGGTTCAAGGGGAAATCAACTCACCAGAAACCGGAAGTTCCATGTTTTTTTTTTTGCCACAACAGTCACTAAAGGATTTTACTATAAAATGTCACTTGGACCAATATAAATGTGAGTATAACAAATTTCAGAAAAATATAAAATGCCACTTGTGACCCTGGAAAATCATCATCGAACTATCATCCTGGTGGCACACTCTTCGGCATTATTGAGAGTTGCTATATGTTGGTAAACATAAGTAGGTTGACGGTTTGGTTTTTTGATGATGATGATGATGATGATGATATGACTTTTGGTTGGAAATGATCTTAGATATTGCTCTATAAACCAACTTATACCAGGGGGTCACTTTTGTTTTTTGAAATGTGGATTCAAACATCATATTTGGGAACATACTGCAAATAAAGTCTTAATTTACACTTGCGATATGTACTGGTATGTATGAATATGTGTGTATATATATATACGCACAGCACGGGACGTTCGCCGTCGCTTGACGGAGTCAAATCAAGTTCATGGAATTAATGTGAAGTGCAACTGCAAGCATCCAATGTTTCTTTCACTCACAGGTTGTGCAACCAGTATATATATATTACACATACGTTGGGGTGGTGCAGAGAAGGGTCTAAATTGGTTCCCCGTGCAGAGCCTGTAGCTATATGTATCCACATTTCTTTACATAGGGACAGAGAGAGCTGAACATCAGAAAAATGTTCAGACCAACGAAGACATTGTTTTATATAATGACATGCATGATATTATATTCACATACTCAAGGCAAAACAAGGCACACATGCAATATGTTTGTGAACTGGCTCGTGATGGCTCGGGTTTCTTGTTGTGCCAAGAGATCGGCGGACCAGAACGACACGGTTGTCGATGCTCTCAACCAGGCCAAGCGTGGGATCGCAATGGACATGCTCCTTCAGCAATGGGAAGGATTCTTGAATGGTGTCCAACCGGGCAAGTTCTACTCCTTGACTTAGCCCAAGGGTTTGAAGGTGCTCAGCGGGCTCAGAGACATGGAAAGCGGCTGATGGTCGATGTTTTCTTTTCCCAGGGGGGTGACGATATATGTTCTACTGGTTGGTGGTTTGGAACCTTTTTCTATTTTCCATAATATATGGAAATAATCATCCCATGTGACTAATATTTTTGAAAGGGTTTGAAACCACCAACCAGTTTATTTTCCAGGGACTCCTTAAGCAAATCCAGCAAAGCCAGGAACCAAGTGGTCAGGAATGGGGAGCAGACCTGTAGCATTGTGTGGGATTGGTGCAGTGCAAGATTCCACCCCCGTTGCTCGTAAATATAGCCCATCCCCCGATCACACTAAAATACCCTCCATGTTTGGGACCAGTAAAATAAGCAGATCCCCCGGTAAATCATGGTTTTCAGGGAGGTGATTGACATATTTAGAAAAAATGGTGAACCATCTGATGTATCAACAACATGTATGAACCATAAATCCTAGTTAAACTAGTCATAGACCAACTTATCGCAATCATATTGTTTTCCCCATCTTGTATCTTAAATGGGAGAATGACAACCTGGCAGCCCAATTTCCTAATGATGCCTTTGCAGGTAGACTGCATGCCTGGAAACAAGGCGAACATTCCAGGTCTATGAAATACCAAATATACATTTTTCTATAAACCTTCATTGTATAGTTCAAACTATTATTGTTTATAGCCTAGCCGTAAATAGGTTAATATGTTCTATTCAACCACAAAAAAATATATGTTGTTTGCAGGATAATGAACGAAGATCAACCAAATATATATATAGTCCCAAATAGAATCACCATATATACAATCACCATATAAATCCTGATATTTGGGTTTCTTATTGACCATGGTTATTTTTTGGGGATCCATCTATAGCAACCGGTTTCCCATGGGGAAAGCCATGGGGAAATCCGCCGTGGAAGTTCGCAAAGGTTACCCTGGCATTGTCTCGGTGACCCGTGTGGAAGTCTTCTGTCCCGACGAGTGCCTTGCTGGTTGGTGGATGGTTGGTGGGATTTCATGGAAGTTCATGGAGAATTCATGGGGAATGGGATTTAATGGATTTTTTTCTAATCCACTGGCTGGTGGTTTCGAAGATTTTATATTTCCCATAATATATGGGATGATCCTTCCCATTGCCCATTGACTATTTTTTTTCAAGATGGTGAACACCACCAACCAGTCCAGTTAACAGGATATGGCCCACGACTATAAGTGGATAAGGATCCGGAGAGAAGGTTTCCCATTCATGTAGGCTGTAGAAATGAAATTGATTGAGTCATATCCTCATTATTCTCTGTTCATGAGGTCAAACACACAAACTCAATACCCAAAAACAAGGTAGTTATATTTGATCTTTGTATCCAAAACATTCGAAACAAACTCAGACTTGGGTGACCAACTCCACTGTCATGGTGACATAAAAATCAACCCCATGGCGGGTCCACCAACAACAGCGGGTCAACAGCGGCCACGGTGTGGTGGCACGTGGACCATGCGGAGATCGGACATGAAGACGCGATCCTGCCAGCTGTCCTACCAAAAATTCGCAGAGGCTTAAGGTTGTTGATCCGTTCATAGTGGATTTACGATATGGATTAACCCCAACGATAAAATTTATCCGGTTATATCCATACTAGAACACAACCCCGACTATAAGTCTTTAACCCCTTATTACAAGTGCATTGACCCTATCCCACTCTAAACTGGGCTTCAACGAACATCTCACAACAACGAACAAACGCGGCATTCGCCGTGAAGAGCTTTACATGTTCATAAATCCTACACAGTTGAACGAAAGCAATTTAGCTCACTAGTTGGCCTCACCTTGCAAGATAAAGCATAATTTTCATTGGGAACATCATCTATACATGAGTCATGTTAATTCATTTTATACAGCTACAGGAAATAGACATGTGCCATGTGCTTTTCAAACGAATCTATATATATATGTGTGTATATGTATATATATAATCTCTCCCATATATTCCCTCGGCGTCACTCTTATGAGGATGGACATTTTCTCCGCTTGGGCCTTTCTTCCCATGACGGACGACCCCAGCCGCCACCAACGGCTGCGCGCCTACAGTCTCCACGAGGTGCGACAAAAGGCTGATACAGTTATGGCCATTTATCAGTTATAAGATGTTATAAGTACTTACAACCCCATTTATAGAATGTATAATCCCATAGAAATAACCAGTTATAACTAATAGCCATGGCCAGAACTGTATAGGCGATGTGAGGTGCGGTTGATCAACAAACATGGTGTTTTTTCATCGTTTTTTTACCATCAAAAACATATGGGATTCAACAGGTTTTAATGGGATTTCATGGAGTATCATGGAGTTTACCCTTTGGTTGACATAGCTCGGAAGTCACTGTTTGTTTTGGAGATGTTTGGAGGGTATCCAGAAAAACCGTGAGCCAGAAATTGACCATCAAGATGGGATTTAAGGCGGTTCAATGGAGTTTAACGGTGAGTTTGCAATGAAGAAATTGATTAAACAATAAACGCAAATTACGTTCCACGAGCCACAGTTGGCGATTCAATCCACTTGTTTTTTTCAAGAACCAAAATTGGCGATTCAATCCGCACAAATCGTGATTTGTCGACAAATGTGGTGGTTTGCAATCATTTGTCATTTGTCGTCAAAAAACGGGATGAACATGTTTTGACATGTATTTTTTTTGGGTATAATATAATATATATATACATATATATATATATATGTAGAACAATGAACAATTATAAAAAAGGCATCATTTGGATCCAAATCAACAAACAACATCTATCCAAAGTAGTGCATGATTTTCAATATCATCCAGTTTCAAAGGTGGCATGGAGCTCACCGTAGTTTGCTTCGCGTCACGACTGAACCCATGCAGTGATTTGCCTGGTGGGCCGATAAAACCGGTGCTTCCTGATTCCTTACAGTCAGGACATGAATTTCAACTGGTGAGAGCCGTATGAAATCACAAACCCGATAGGATCCATGTATGGTATATATGCTAATATTTGGGGTATATTGATGGTAAATGTCATCATATATAGCATACATGGATCCTATGAGAACATCGTGCAAAAAAAACTCGTGGAAATGAAATCACGTATAAACTCATGATCACTCAAAACAGTACTGTAGGCGCAGAACCGGCAAATGTGTACCTTCAGCAGGGCCGTATTTGTTGCGTGCATCTCAAACTGGATCATATTCTACCTACATAGTGCAAACACATTACTGCTTGGTGGTTTGGAACATGAATTTTATTTTTCCATATATTGGGATTAATAGTCCCAACTGACTTTCATATTTTTCAGAGGGGTAGGTATACCACCAACCCAAAACGGGTGGACTACAACAATGGTCATACGTTTTGAAGTTGACTCATCTATTCTCCGCTTGATAGCATTTGTGCAGATCAAGATGTGCTGGATTCCCCCCTTTTATCCTCATATTAACTACCCCAAACGCCAAACACGAAACCTTGCTTTAGTTTTGATCATTTGTTCAGGACCGTTTAAGATGTTAGTGCATTTCTGATTTTCTGAATGGAAGCAGCCATGTGAACTACTAAAAATACCCACGTGTTGGGTATGAAATGTGGCTTGTTAAGCCCATGGCTTTTAAAGCCGGGCTACTGACCAACTGGTCATAGGAGTAAGTATATACACTGATCACATCCGAGCTCAACGTACAATATTTGATCCTAACTCATCATATTGCATCCTATGTTTATTGTAGTTCTTCTATGTAATAGGATGACCTACCGACAGCTGAGATACAGTTATGGCATGTTATGGCCCTTTGCCAGTTACAAGTCAGTAAGTCACCCGATTTATGGAATGTATTTCCCCAGTTATAATGTATAGTGATAGGGGTAACCTGTCTTTTTTCAAGTCCGGTTTTTTTTCTCTACGCCAGGGTCACAAGAAGGAACGCTACTGCTCGGCCGATCGAACACAGAGGCCCAGTCATCGTTGAGCAGTTGGGTAGAAAGGCAACAGATTATAATGGTCCCCGAAGATACAATGTGGGGCCCCCCAGTTATGTAAGTTGGTTTAAAAAACCCCATGAATACTATAGATATAGGTATCATAAACCCTAGTTACTGAAGTTATTTGCACCAACTTAGCTATCTAAATCTAGGGGGCCCCACATTGGCAAGTGAACTTAACGATCACCAAACACATGGAGTGAACTAGCAAAGCGACGACGATATCTGAATAGTTGGGGATTTGGTCGCCAAAGATGGGAATTGATATAGGGAGTTCCATAAATGCGGTATCCCCAAATGGAAGATTTATAATGGAAAATCCTATAAAGATGGATGATTTAGGGGTACCACCATTTATGGAAACCTCCATATTTGGTTGATGAAAGAATTCTGCAGTATAACTCCAATAACTCTTGGAACTATGACTGATATTTCTACAATTGACTGGGTAAGAATAAACAGAACTGAATGTATGTCAGATAAAATGGAATGTCAGGATATATGCCATATGAATGTCAGACAATATACCAGATACAATGTCAGAATCTATGTCCGATAAAATGCCAGTTGGTTAAATTTTCTTCTGAGACACTCTCCGTTCCCAAGCTCCTTTTTGTGGGGAGTCGAAATGTAAAAAAAATACCAATTCTTCAGTGATTAAATCTCAAGTTAACGGATTAATATATGTTAATACCTCAATTGCAACCTGTCCACAAGCAGGGGGTTCCCGCAGTCACACCAGCTTCGTGCAGTCGTTGTTGCGCCTGTGGAGAGCCTGTGTCTTTGCTTCACATTGCGGGTGACATGAAGCGGGGGAGCTCAGTTGGCTGGGCGCACCCTTCGGTAATCAAAAAAATCAATGGAAAAATCATCCGTGTATAGAAATCTTTGAGTTTTGAGTCTTTGAGTTTTGAGATCCGTGTATAGATGTCCTTTTTTCCCACTACTACCGGAATTTATGAGGGATTTCGCAGCTACTGGCAAGGATGGTTGCGAAATCCGCGAAATGCACCGATTGGTAACGATTGGTAACAGAATTGACCACTGTAAATAACTGCGGATTGCACCATTGTCATCCAATTCTGTTACCATTGAATCTACCATTAGTCAGGTAGATTGCACCAGGGTAACGATTGGTAATAATGGGATTATAAGCGAACTGCGGCCATCTACCTGACTCACTGACTGTGGCTGTTCATGACGGCCTTTTTAAAATGGGATCGAGTCCATCGAGTCCATGGAGTCCACGCAGTCCATCCGAATGGTTTCAGAAGATTTTGCTGAAAGCGTTTTGTCCCTTCCTTAGATGGTTATGATACTATATGATACTATAGTGCAAAAACATAGTTAGATAAATATATGGGAATATACCACATAGTTTGTTAAATAATTTATAATTACCATCTAGGGAATCGTTTTTGATATATATATATTTTTTGTGGCTTCAAGATGCTTCAAGCACATCCCAGTAAGTTGCGTGACTGTACTGTATGAATATGGGGCGTCTCCAACTAATACGTGAAATTGACCAACAGTTTAACCCATAGGATCCATGGTGCTGGTATATATGCTAACATTGGGGGTATATTGATGGTAAATGTTACCATATATAGCATACATGGATCCTATGGGTAATGGAATGACCAATATTTTAATGCGAGGGTTCAATCAACAAATGGGAACGGAATGGCTCAAATTTTCATTGCGCCGTATGATGGATGGATGCTGTTGATCCTAAACAATCGCAGTCATGAGCACAGACGTGTGCTGGTTCTTGCTGGTTCTATATCCTCTTATATCCCAC